GGGGTTATGGTTAGATTTAACGTCAGGGGTTATGGTTAGATTTGGTGGTCAGGGGTTATGGTTAGATTTAACGTCAGGGGTTATGGTTAGATTTAACGTCAGGGGTTAGGGTTAGATTTGGTGGTCAGGGGTTATGGTTAGATTTGGTGGTCAGGGGTTATGGTTAGATTTAACGTCAGGGGTTATGGTTAGATTTGGTGGTCAGGGGTTATGGTTAGATTTGGTGGTCAGGGGTTATGGTTAGATTTGTTGGTCAGGTGTTATGGTTAGATTTAACGTCAGGGGTTATGGTTAGATTTGGTGGTCAGGGGTTATGGTTAGATTTGGTGGTGAGGGGTTATGGTTAGATTTGGTGGTCAGGGGTTATGGTTAGATTTGGTGGTCAGGGGTTATGGTTAGATTTGGTGGTCAGGGGTTAGGGTTAGATTTGGTGGTCAGGGGTTAGGGTTAGATTTGGTGGTCAGGGGTTAGGGTTAGATTTGGTGGTGCCTGGCTGAGTTTGGTGCAACTGTAAAGGTTACGGATTCATCTGAGCTGGTTCACCTTCTCATTAACAATGTGCATTTGGAAAATCCCAGCTGTATAATAAGCAAACAGGCCGCTGTCAAAGAAAAACTCAGACAAAGCCAGATACACCATCCGGTCAAACTCCCTGATGACTGGCTCCACAGCATAGTTTACCAGGGTGAGGTTGTGATGAGACAGGTCAAAGAACATCCCCTACAGGAACAAGAAACAAACTCTTGGTACCAATTCACATCTCATCAGGTTTTCAACTCATTTCTTTGGAGTCTGACCCGAAAGTGCATGTCGAGGCTCTGAGATGTCACCACTGGATCGTCAATCAGGGAATAATCAATCCCAATATAGGAATCCACCTCAGTCCTCACAGGAATGGTTTCCAACATGGAGTTAACATGAACCAGAGCAGCGTGATTCAGGGCTGGGCAGATCTGACAGAGAAGAAGGAATTAGACTCAGTTCACATCATCTCTGAAACTCTTAAAACCACAGACTGGAACACGAGACCTCAAAATCAAAAGCAAAAAAATTTTTAAAAAAACCTAAATGCACTTTCAATGCACATGTACTGTATTTACAATTCTGGCATTTTTGTACACATTTAAAATCCGATTTTTTTTCTTAAATTTGTAATCTTTGAGTGTATTTCAATTCAATTCAGTTTATTTGTTATAGCTCCAAATCACAACAACTGTTGACTCGGCACTGTACATAAAAAACATGAAATCTAAAGAAGCCAGCAGACTGCGCCAAATCTTTGCTTCATCACAGTCTCCATCCTGAGCAGAACACCAGCGGAGAGGAAAAACTCCTTTTAACAAGAGGAAACCTCCAGCAGAACCAGAACCAGGACCGGCTGGGTTTGGGGACAGGAAAGAGACACAGAACTGGTCCAGGTGTACTGTCCTCTGGAAGAGACAAATATAGAAATAATAAGAATAAACATGTAGAGAAGAGAGACTAAAGACAACAGCAGAGTGAGGAAATGTGCTCAGTTTGTGCTCCAGCAGTCTAAGTCTATAGCAGCATAGCTAATTAACTATAATAACTGTTAGGTTTTGAGGTGCAGAATGAGTCCAGATCTGGATTGAGGATGAAGCTTTGTAAAAAGATTTATTTGAACAAAATAAACAGCTGGCAGGGCAGCAAAAGGAAAACAAAATATAATTAGGCACGAGGAACACAAGGACAACCAAACAGTAGATAAAACCATGTAATGAACCAGAGAGGAATGAACAGAAGAAAGAGGTATTTATACAGACTGATGACGAGGGAAGATGAACAGCAGCTGACAGAGAGACTAATTATAAAGAACTGACCAGTGATGGATGCTGGTCCTTCAACAACAGGAAGCTCAGTTTCAGCCTACATTATAAAATGTGTGGGTGATAAATTTTACCCTCCGTTCCTTTTCAAGAAAATGATCTGTGACCCTGTTACAGATCTTTTTGTTTAGTTTATGGTATTTATTCATTTCATTTAAAAAACAAAACATTACATACAACAAAATAATACAAATAAAATAAAAGGCAGCAGAAGAAGAAAAATATCTTATATCTGCTCCTATTTAC